AATCACACATTTTCCTAATTTGGATTTGGAATTATCTTTTTAAAAATTTAAACTTTTTAATAATACCCAAATCAGCCAGATACAAATGGTACAGCCAAAGAAATTATATTATAAGTTTATACATATCTACTATTTGCGAGAAGAGTTTTTCCCCAACCTAATACAACCAGTTCAGAACGTCAAGACTTGAAGACGCGAGAATTTATATTTATTCAGAATGATCTAAGTTGCCAATATTATAATTAGAATAAACCACTCGAAGCCATAAATCTTACGGCAAACTGTAGCGCATTCATTAAAATTTCTTACAACGTGCGTGCGATAAACCCATCCAAATACGTTCCATGCCGAAAACTTCGACTTATCTCCCTCTCGTAGAAGGTCGTTACGCTGAAATTATGGCCGTGGTTAAACACATGCTACATTTACTCGAAAGTTCATGTTACGCTCGAATAACTTCTAGTTAACAGGGTGGAATTCCATTTGACGTGAAGAACATTTTTACAACAGTGAAAGTAAAAATAAAATTGTAAACACATACCTAAAAGCAGCATGTAAAGCATTTTTATAATAAAAAAGATTTATTTTACCGATACCGTGTTGTCCAAAACATAGGTATCAATACAATATCACCACAGTGAAGTAAATCAAACGTCCAAAGGAATAAAAAGCATCCATGGGAACAAATACCCAGATGCGAAAAAATTATCAGCGAGTAGCACAAATACTTGCCACGAGCTCGGCACAATATTGTTGTTGTATATACTATAACTGTATTGTTTTTGTTAACATTTTTAACCCATGTTAATAAAAATAAATAAATCTCGAAAAGAAATTACTTTAATGAATAATAATTGTTTGTATTAATTATTCATTTATAAGCGATAGTGCGGCGATGGTCTCTCTCGAGTATATGGCAATTTCGATCTTATTCCTTCTTCAAGGTAGATCCCCTTATCGTTTGCTATTCAACCCTAGGTTCGAACCTCATTCTGCAGGGCCCTTGGATCATGTCGTTGCTCGCTGGCCTGAAAAGCCGCCGGGCTAACTGCAAACTACACTGCCTCAAAAAAAATTAAACTAAAAGCAATTATAATTAAAAACAATAGTAGCTACTCAAAATATGAAATAAAATAGAATGTTTTAATGTTTCTAATACCACTTGGTCTACCGTTTATTACTCTGAAAATTTCTTCTAGAAAAATACGGAAAACCTTTAAAATTAACATTTTATAAACAGATGTTGTATTCGTTAAAAAACGGTGTTTTGTAATACACCAACTTTGAACAAAAATTTGCGTTTGGCATTTTGCACGATTAAAAACCAAACGTCGAACTTACACAAAGAGTTATTGGCCATAAATTTCAATTTTCAATTCCAATTCCAACAAAAACAACAAGAAATCTTATATCCTACCTAGGTACAGGTGCACTTTTCAAATGGAATGTGGGAACGGAATTGATTGTGGAAGGCCGTTTTCCATTTAGATATGGAAATTCAGGCAGTGTGTACGACATCGCAGTTGGCTATGTAAGTAGATATTATTGATTGGCTATATACACAGATAGGCTGGTAAAATAATGATAACGGTTGTAGTGATAATTGCTTGATTGTTCTGCTTTACCTTTTCGGACTCGTCTTTTTATATATTTTCAGCCACTTTACTGAGATTATATGTTTACATTAACTTTTATACCGTGATTAGGTGAGTACTTAACTAATGTTTTACCTGATGTAGATCCTTATCCTTAAAAATATACTCCAGAACTAATGACTAAAACGATCAGTGAGCTCTGAAGTGGGCTGTGCTCGGTGCTCGGTATTTCTCTGCGTGATTGAGTTTGCAAAGAAGATATTCACAGTAGAACAAAGATAACTAACATAGCTCAGAAGATTAGTAAGCTCAAGTGGTGATTTAAATATCAAATGGTGCCGGCCAAATAGCTCGTAGAATCGACAATAGAGGGAGAAGAAAAGTTCTCGAGTGAGAGCCTTGTACTGGCCATCGCACTGTGATCTCCCACTAGACAGAATGAATACCAGTGCAAATGTGTGGGATGTCGATGAATGCATACGTTCTTCAATGTGTGAGGGAGGCCTATGTTCAGCAGTGGACTCCAAAAAGCTGATGATGATGATGACTTATAATTAAAATTCGACATCGAAACAAAATCCAAGGGTCACGCAACACTATTGAACGAATGGGCAGGTCCGTCCGCGTAAGTACCACGACCTCACAGAAGCTCGGCGTGAAGTGGAAGTGTTATACGTCTGCGTTTCGTCAGCTGAGTGAGGTAGCCGTGGCCCACTTTATTAATGGGCGGCGGTAATCACATAACATCAAGTACGAACTCGCCTACACGCCTACTCGCTTCCCACATAAAGAAAATAAATCCAGTGTGCGAGAACTTAGGAACATACTATTTAAATTAACGAGCAAGATAGACAAATGCACTCAGAGTATATATACCTACTTCTGGTCGAATCAAATATAAACAATTAATAGTAAGTAACATCTCGTAAGGACGTACCGATTTCATTGCTTATTCCTCACTTCTGTGTAAATATGTTTGACATTTAAAAGAAATTGGTTTACGTAAATATGAATATCAGAGCATAAATCATTTACCTTTACAATGAAAAAGCAGCGTTTCGGGTTAGATTTAAAAAAACCGGCCAAAAAAATGAAACTCTCCGTGCGCAGTGAGTAGTTCCATACCATTATCTATAAAATCGGCAAAAAAATCATGTTTGTTGTATGGGAGCCCAAATTAAATACTTTTTAATTCTGTTTTTTTTATTTTTTGTTAAAGCGGCAACAGAAATACGTCACCTGTGACAATTTCAACTGTCTAACTATCACGGTACATGAGATATGTATAGCCTCGTGACAGACAGACAGGCAGACAGCGGAGTCTTAGTAATAGGGTCCCGTTTTCCCTTTGCTTACGGTACCCTTAAAACCGACTATGGTAGAGATTCACAAGAAAACCATTCTATTCTACATTTTTTAAAATCAGATATGAACATTTATGTACCTATATTAATTATGTTAAATAACAAATATATAAATAAAAATTGATATAACACAAATAAAAATTGATCCTTAAAAATATCGGTACCAACATTTAATTAATTTTTTGTTCCTCAAACTTAATATTTATAAATATCAACTTAAATAAACTTTGTTTAAATTAATAATAGTACCCGGAGGACCGAGCTTTGCTCGGTTTGTTTATTTTTTTGGTAAATCGTGTATTTTGGAAATTACATTTAGATACAAATTACTGAGTAATGAAATATGCATAATATTTTTCGATCTTACCGACTTAATAATAAGAAAATATGAACTGATGTTTTTCTCAAAAGAAAGAACTTTTAAAAAAGGGAAAAAAATTACAAAAAAAGAAATCGATAAAAAATTAAAAATAAAGAAAGCAGTGATCTGGAATAGAAAAAAAAAGTAAAAAAATAAATGTGTAAATGATGGTGACGCGAACCACGGCCTTCTGTTTTGGAGCCGCCCGATTACCGACCGAGCTATTATGACATTTTCTCTTGCGGCGAAATTTACCGTCATATTCGAATAATATTTTTCATTCCTTGAAAACAGGGATAAAAGGACATTTTCTGAAAATGAAACCTAGCTAGATCGATTTTTCGCCCCCAAATCTACGCATATACTAAAATTCATGAAAATCGCTGGAGCCGTTTCCGAGATTCCGATTATATATATATATATATATACAAGAATTGCTCGTTTAAAGGATAAGATTAAAAGATTGATATTTACTTTTTGATTGTTCTCGTTGTGTATGAGTATATTCGCTACTTTGTATTAGGTGTTATCATTAATATAATAAAATACGTATTTTAAAAAATGTTTTTAATTCTCTTTTACTTGGAAATTACACGTTTATTTTGATATTACTTACAGACTTAAAAAACCTTAACAGTAAATTATGTACATGCCGAACTTCCTAATATTACCTTTCTTATTACATATTATAAGTCAAATTTACATATGACAAAATTAGATTACCTATATTATACTTACATGGTATGTTACTTATTCACTATTTTTACAATCTATATCACATTTCCTTTTATACCTAAAGAGAGTAACGACTAAATTATTTATATAATACCTTTACAAGCCTAATGCACATTTAATACAGTATTTTTCGTGAAGTAATAACGACAAGTTTTCAGGAATGATTTGTATGTATATGTAGCTTCCATCCAATAAATAACATTAATGTACAGATCATGTTACTAACCTTAATTTGTATTGTCAAGCATTTTATTTACATTCAGATATGTTATTAGATGAGGCATAATATTAATATGTATGAGATCTTTGATACTAAAAATAATTTAATCAGCCTTACTTAAACAGCTTACTTTAAAAATCATAATTTAACAGAAGTAAGAAAATTCTAAAAATAACTTATTGCATGCTTCACTTTTACACAGACCATATCGTTAAATACAGACTGAATGAGTTTCTAGGAGATTATAATACAGGTAAAATTATCCTTAAAAATATTTATATTGATTTGGAATTATCGCGGGGTTGATGTGAAAACAGAAATGCATTATGTAAAGAAAATTTCCTTTACTATAAGCGTTAAAACTGAAGATCGAAGCTTGATGTTCAATAGCTTATATCATATTCGTAGGTTTTAATTTATTGGTTGCTTCTAATAAAATGGTAAATCAGTAACATAATTGGCCGTATTTCAAGTCAAAGAACTTTTCTTTCTTATTATGGCAGCCATATTGTATCAATAAATCGTGTTCAACAGAAGTGTTAACTAAATTTCTAAGAATGAACGAAAATTGTCTTGACTACTAAGCAAATGCATTTTACGCCAATTCAGTCTTTAATCTTATTTTCACAGAAGAATAAAGTAATACTAATACTGAAAATACTAAACGCTCGATAGAGTGCTAATGTGTATTAAACAGTCGTTTCAATAGAACCAACAGGCTGTCAACAGAAACCATCCTTTAAATCTGGATATCCGATATCGTGATCATCTCTTCTGGAACCATTACCCCTAATGTTTTCAGATCGAGCGCATCGACCTCCACGTCCTAAGCTAGCATACCTTGTATCGGCAAGTTTGTCTCTTTGCGATACTTCATCATAGTACCGCGCGTCGTTCAACCCAGCACTATATTTTTGGCTTAAACTATACTTATCCAAAGTGGCGTACTTTTGCACTGTAGCGTACTGTGGCGCTGTTTCAGAAATACCATTGCTTTTTACATGATCATACGATCTTTCCTCGGGTGGCGAAGCACCGTCAAGTCTGGCTTTGAATTTCTTTTCTTTTCTCCGGCGCCGTCTACATGTGCATATCGCAACTGCTATTGGACACAGAAGCAAGCCGACTCCTGCTGCAGCAGCAACGTATGGGGGTGGCAGTGATATTCTAAACGAACAGTTGGAATCCTCTTCGTCATAACCTGATGGACAATGGGCGTTCCCATCGCACCACAATGCGAATGGTATACAAGCATTCAATTCAGGACATCTAAAAGTAAAAAAAAAATAGTAATGTATTTCCCTTAATATATTTTAAAACGTCCTAGATCTAGGGAAAAATCATTTACTTCATCAAATTATTAGATTTTACAAAATAAAAAAATTGCCCACAGAAGTGAAAAAAACTTCTATAATAACTGTCTTCTTTTTTTAAATCAATTTCAGTATGAATAACAAATATCGGAAAACACTTATTTAAACCGATACATATTAATTTTCAATAATTTCATTTTTAAGAATGTAACAATATACTAGCGAATAACTAGAAATATTTTTTACATAGATCAAGTTAAAACCAAATTATATCAAAGTTTTAACGTCACCAACGTCAATGGCAAAACCACGTTAGTAGGTCGTTGACGGGAAACAACTATTGTGTTCTAACAAAATTAAGGGCCACGTGGGAATCGCACCGTCAATGGCGGACAACGGCAGTTGAAGAATTTATCACATATACTATTGAGCCACGCGCCATACAAAATGATAAATATTTTCATATGACATTATACATAAAAAAGAATACCAGAACTTACTTATATCGGCATTCAAGAGAAACTGGAGTTTGGAAAAAGTCCGAGTCAGCTTCATTTTCAATCGTGGACTTTTTCATAACTTCTATCCACTTTACCGAGTAATCAGCCGGCTCGTGTTGTAGAAAATCGATTACATAACTCCGGGCATGTGGCTTAATCGAGGATTCTAACGTTGCCTGTACCGTTCTCCAGCCGGGAGAAAATAACTCCATAGACTCATTTTCGGCCGGACACACTTCTCGTGGTTTTGATGTGTCGTGGGCTTCATATATAAATAATCTGTTCAGGGTGGGACAAAACGTTGAAGTTGATGTTATTTCGAATCCTGGTAGTTTCATGTACAAATATCTTCCTTGTAATGGTGTTACTTCGTCACCCCCGGGTTCTATAAGCCACGGCCTGTGAACACAAACGACTTCTGCCCTTACACTTTCTGATATCACATTTCGATCACTGATAATTTCGGACGATATGGGCGTTTGTCTCTTGTCGTACAATCTTATTTCACCACTGCTTCCCCGTAAGCGTCTATCACCCCACCCCGACGAGCATACAGCATCATCACTGGACCCAGTTGGAACGAATTTGAACTCACCATCGAATGCAAAATCATCGTAATCTTCTGTGATATTCATCATAGTCACAGTAAAGTTCACTTCGACGACCGGAGCGGTTAATGTATGAATATTTAACGGTTCCGATCGATTGGTGCAAAGGCAGTCTCTTTGTATAGATACTCCCTCCCAAGGATACTCAGTAATAATAATTTGAGCGTACCCCTCGCCCCCACTCATCCTCTTTATTGGTTTATCGCACACCCAACGACTGGTCCTACTGTCTTTGTAAGTGTTACAGTACTTATTACCAAAGTACGTATTGGTAAATGTCAACTGCACTCTTTCGCCATGCTTGGCTTCAAATCTGTAAAGATACGATATATTTTACTAAAGCATTCTTCGAAAAATAATAAAAGTATTCAAATGGGTTTAATTTCGTTCCATACCTTAAAATACATGTAAGATTTTGGGCACCTCCTCTACCGTAATAAAATATAGCCCGGGGGGCTTGGAATCTTCCTGAATAGGTTTGAGCGGACTTAAAAACCCTGTCGCAAGCCGATCGAGAGTCTGTCAAGGGTTGCCCTTGTTCACTTACGTCAACGAATTCATATCGAAGAAAGAAGGATACTGGATATAAAGCCGAGCCTTGTCGTAGTTCCTGTAAGGATAATTTTGCTATAAATTTTATTCGGCCACTAGAAGACTTATCAGAGAAATATGTTTACTGTGTCGGAAGGGTTATCATGAAAACATATTTTTTTTACTTTATACATTATACTATTATAAAGAATCCATCATTGTTTTATTTTTATAAATTGAAGTTACACAGACCAAAGTATCTAGTAGAAGTATAACTTCAAATATTTAGTTATAGAACTTGCTCAAGTCCTTCCTCCGCTGAATTTAATATGGAATAATAAAGCAGTTCTCAACTAGTGACTTTAACAACTTGGTTAAACCAGGTTTCCTATATTAAGAAAGAAGTCTTTGCCTTCAGCGAATGGGTTAGTAAACAAATGCTGAAAGAGTAGTTTAAAAAGCATTTAACGAGATCTTCTATTGATATAGAAGTTTTTTATATTCCTTTTAACATTCTAACGGGCTTGAAAATGAATGTGATATCCATTCGAGAAACGTATAATATTAAATGAGTAATAAAAAAATAAAAAATTACTTATGGCAACCTATTAAAGAAATTATTGAATTATTAACCCGTTGAGACATACATTTATCGTGTTTTATATTTTATTTTCACCAGGCTAAAGTTTTTGTTTGGACTAAAGTGTTTTTAAAAACAAGTAACACACTTGAGATTCAAAATAACACAGCAGCACTAAAGCGTTCCATCACGAACGGAGAGCAAAGTGGAGTCCACACGTGTTCCTTGCATTATTCACTATGGCAAATGCAACGCTCAGCGCGCGTGACTTATCTGTCTAGTTCCCGATTAATGTTTCACCGGGAAGTGGATTCTGGATCCGGAAGGAATAAAGAATGTTTGACGTTTGGCCAAATTGGTGGACAGTTTAATAAGTCCAATTGATATAAACATACAAGTCCAATTTATTTAGTGTTATCGACGTACATTTTTCAATTTCAGATCAATTAAGTTAAAAAAATACGGGATAAGTAAACAATGTACATAATAATGTATAAAAAATTATTCAAAGTAATAAATAAATTAAACAGTATATTTTTGTTCGTACCTACTCGTATTGAATAGAATAATAATTATTTTTTTTTACAAACCGTTATTCCATTTTCACGTTAAAGATAACAAAAAAGCATTATGAACAACAACTTATTGTAAACAATTTCAAACATTTTGTAAAAGCTACCCTAATGGAAAGGGCCTAATATGTTGATAAAAACATTAAGGACAAGGATAAGTAAGGAAATGACAGGAAATGAATGCTGATTTTACTTAAATAATTATAAAAAATATAACAAGACCACAGGGTTTCTTGCCGAGTTTTCTCTGGACAGGTCTAGTTTAGTGAACCGGTGGTAATTTTTTGACGTACAATTAGAGCTCAAAATAAGCCTATATTAAATAAAGAAATTTTGTAATGTTGAGATGTCACAATTTAAGGCTAAATTAATGATTAACCGTCCGATGGTGTAAGGGGCTGGGAGGAATGCTGTCATTAAATTCTTGGGCACACTTTACGAAACGTATCCTATAGCATACTGGGAGGGGAAATACTTTGCACTTGTGCTCAAGACTCGGATGATTAGACTGCACTAAATTGGATACATCAAAAATGTGTTTGCATGACATTTCGCTTAATTCAGAGCCGCAACAAGACATTTTGGAGCAACAGCGTCAGTAAGACAATATCCCGAACATGATCGTTATACATTTATTTAAGTAGAAATCATTGCATGAATATTTTCTAGTCGTTCGAAGTATTACAAACCTTCGTAAACGTACCTGTAATATGGTGAGCGCTGGTCCTGTGGTTATGTAACTCTCACTTGGTGCGCAGGGGCGGGTGGCCCTTGTTGCGTTCGATAGAAGTGCGTGGTCACATAGTCGGGGCGATTCTTCGCGGCAGAACGAACCCAGTAATAGTTTTTTATCGCTCATATCTAACTGTAATAAAATTATTAGTAGCTATGTCAGCACAAATACCCTACTGTTGGACTTATTTTCTATTAATAACCGAGGTCAGTATCACACTTTGTGGCAGTGACAGGATTATTTAAGATATATTTGTCACACTTTTTCGTTACTGTAATCACGCCATTGATCAATAAAACTAATGTTTTAGTTATTTATCACGTTAAAACAGAAACTAGATTCAAAATTTTAAAAGAAGTGAATGAATAAATTAAATCCTTGATATTCAAATAGATTGTTAAACAAAACTGTCCCCCGATTTCAAAGTAATAGCAGCTGATTGAATGCCAAAAATTTCCCATGTACCCGTGCTTTAGTATAGAGTATTCTTAATGTAAGCAAAGGAATTGCGAATGAATGGAACGAAACACCGCACTGCAGTCAGTGGAGAACTCGGCAAGAGTGCTCAGACACATTAAAGAAAATTAATGTTTGGCTCCCGACGTCAAGTGGTAAGGTAGCGGTAGTTGGCAAAGTGAAATGGCACGAATAAAGGCGGCGAGAACGCTACCTAATTTTATACTGCTTCTTTATTTGTATCATCGCGTTAATCTTCAACAGTGCGTAACTTTTGCTTCGTATGCGTTAAAATGAATCCGAAGTAAATAGTAGCACTCATTTGTCTCTTACCTTTAACGCGATTTTATTAGCTTCACCTGTTTCGTATAATGTATTTATTCACTTTCGGACATCCGAATACTTTGGAATTCGGTACATACGGTACTCGTAATATATTGTTAACCGGATACAATTAAAAACTACGAAATTACGACCAGATATCACACCAGGAAAAATCCTGGTGCGTCTACCACATTACAAAGCATGGGTGCAATATTCTTAGAGTTGCTGAACACCCATGATTGGCAATATATAAACATAATAAGTGATTACAGGTCTTATATATTATAAGGAACATATTATACACATTTATGTGTACTAGTATCTCCCTAGTGCTGTAACTTATCAATTATTACAATTTATTGTCCATCACATCAATAAATCGCTCATTCGATTATTACGGGCAGAGAAATTTTTCCGCTTATACAATTATAATTAGGGATTTGAATACCTTCCTATCGAGGTCAGCGTCAGGCGCCGCTCCGTCCCAAACGGTGAGCTGGGACGAGCAGTCTTTTTGCTGATCAAAACCCGCCGGATCAGTCCCGGCCGCGTGATATTTCACAAATGACACCCACACAATTTCGTTGGGACGGCCCTGGAAAAAGGAAATCTTTTCAACATGTTTTGTCGATAAATCACTTTCAGCTAATCTCCTTCCCCAATAGAGTCACAGTCTTTATAAAATAAAGTAAAAATGAACACTAATAGCCTTTGTTAACATTGATTCTTATATTCTTAACTGTAATACTAAATGGATGTACCAAACAAGTTAAGTATTACAAAAAAAATATGAACTGCTTAAATTGTTATAATTAACTTGTTAGAAATGTTTGCGATTATAGTAACGAAAGCGATATTTATTTAAATTACAGAAAATTGTACATTTCAAAAATTCTTTGTTCTATTGTCACTTTAATGTTTACTCTCATTTGTGGTGGACACTAAAAGTGTATTAATTCATTCATTCCTATAAAATAACAATTTAAAAAGCAAGTACCTGAAAGAAGTAAACACAGGAGGTATTCGGAGGCAGCGAGTGCCGAGGGTTTCTCAATACTCCACTTGTTTTGTCGGATGAGCGGACAATAAACCGACATCGACCGTCGGCACGCACGTACGAGTGCGAATCTTTATCCACGTATAGGACCTGGCAAATCAAATTTGCACGCTGAAGTAACGTCAATTTCATTTTATGTCAGCCCGTAACGCGAAACCTAAATGCCGAATTAGCCTCACCCTTATTGGTTACACGGACGGTTGGAGGAATTAGCCCACGCTTTATTAGCCCTTCTTTCGATTAGCTGATTACATATGTGAATCATTTAGTCGTATATAGCGATTTTCCTTTAAATGAAAAGTCGTCAAGCGAGCAGGTGTTTCTGCTAAAGGTTATTTAATACCGCTGCCCATGGACGTCTACAAAACCTAAGGGCCTTGATAATCTTTAAAGAAGTGCAGCTGGCTATCTCACTCACCAGACGGGAAATTATAACACTTTCAGATTCTGTGAGATCGAAACTGTCTATTCATGCAACAGCCGAAGCTATTGTTTGCCTCTACCACCCTGAAGATGTTACGTTCAAATAAGATTTGTAAGTTTATCGTTAGTTCTGAACTCTATGTGTGTTTAATATTCCCTGTTTATCAGAACAGCAGCTTAATCAAGGTTACTACAGATTTTTGTGGATGCTCACTTAAGTATTAAAAACTTTAGCGCATTAATAACATCGATGCTTCTCATTACGACCTAACCGAATGAGACAGTATACGCATATTCGAAGCAACACTGCTGTGCTCGATAATATACACGTCGCAGCAATAAATAGCGCATATTTTGTTCGATATAACAGAGCTGCACGGAAAATTCTATCGTCGTCGAAATCGGTCAAAAGGGGCTATGGATTAGGGGAGGTGAATTCAATGAACGCCGCGTTTCGTAAGCGGCTTACCAACCGCAATATGATGCTTAACACAAATGGTCCCCCATCGCGTCAGTGCCTTATTTTTCCGTTAATCGAGTCTGTAGTAGTCAATAGACTAGCAGTAGACAGAGCAGTGGTAAAAAAGGGAAATTAAATTTTCCTACCACACAGACGAGTCTGTAGTAGTCAATAGTCTGTAGTAGGACAGAACAGTGGTAAGAAAGGGAAATTAAATTTTCCTACCACACAGGAGTATACAAGTTTGTACATAGAACTACTAACCTGTACTTCTAGTTCGAATCCTGGCAAATAGCTCAAAGGCACCGGGTGAAAGGGGTTATCGTATGGTGATGTATGAAATTCAAGCAACATGTTCGGCCCTCTGCTCACGATGTCCGGGACAGCATCGCCCCCGCATAGGCGTACCAAGACGGGAGATTCACGAGTTGGTCCATCCCAAACCGTCAAATAATCCTGGACCACATTGCATTGATCCCAAATCCTTCAAAAGTGACGAGTAATTTTAATCTATATATATATATATATATATATATAAAAATTCTCGTGACACAATATTAGTTGCCAAATTTTATATGTAGGTCTGAGAATCGGTCGTAATCTATATTTCATACCCCTACATGATAAGGGTGGTCCAACCCAAATATTTATTTTTTATTTTTCAGCAATATTATGGCAAAAAAAAACGTTTGCCGGGTTAGCTTGTAACACTATAAATATTTCTCGTATGTATAGCTATATCATTGCTTAAATTTATTTATTAAATTTATTAAATAAATTTAAGCAAGCGTGTGAACGGCAGCTTAAATGCTATAAACAGGCGGAAGTCAAACACATGAGCTCAAGGATAGCAGATTTTGCTACCATAAATCTTTACTTAATCCTTTCAAATTGTGCGATACCTCTTTTAACTAAAGTTGCTTGTATAATACCAACTATAGCATATACATAATGTGTTATTACATATTTCTATTACTCAGGTATTTGTTGTCACGGTAATTACTTACTTGAGAACACGTTGGCTTCTGTCGTACTTTACAATTTGGTCTTTGATATGTATCTTGTGGCTGTTTGTTTGTCTCACAGCGAGTAGAACGTGTTTGTCGGCAGGGATCTAGGAAAAAGATTTTTTATTAATGAATAAAGTTAGTAGTAAAAAAAATGTTCAAAACTTCCAAAAAGCATTATTTATTTGTTTTATGTATACATGAGCATTGACATTAATTCCTCAATAAAATAATAACATAAATGTATCTTAGTTTTCGCTGACGAGATACAAAGTCTTGAGAAAACATCTCTTTCATTTTGAAGCACTAAAAGACTGGCGAGTGCGAGCAAAGTTGAAACCATTGTCGGTATACTACGTACTAAGCCCACCTTAGTGTGTTCGATGCGGTATGTGCAAGTTGCGTTTCGGGGATATACGCCGGGGAAGTTTGGAGACTGGATGCGGCACGCTCTCAGATCGCAGTCGCTCAGAATGCGGTCGCAGTAAGTGCCCGGGACCCGCTCGCCCCGCCAGGCCCCCACGGTCGCATTCCCGTATCGCAACCGCGCCTCGCTACGCCTCAGGAACTTGTAAGCCAACTTGAAGTCGAAATTGTATCCGACACCCTGAAAGCAAACTGCGTCGTCACTCGCTCCGTAATCATTTGCGACTGGATTGCTTAAAGGCGTCCGAATAACTTGCTTACGGAGCACATCCCGCGTGGCTTCATATTATCTCATTTGCAACATACACGCATTGCCTGAGTTTATTCAAACATATGAGATTAATTATAAATAATAATAAATGTTTGAGGAATTTTTAGACAACGTTCTCTACTCCCAAAATAAGCATCACTTATATTTTCCGAACTAAATAACTGATAAACATACTTTTTTTTTGTAAATAAATACAAATTATACATATATAAATACCCAGACACTAGAAAAACACTATGTTCATCACACAATATTATTCCAGTAGTGGGGATCGAACCCACCTGAACACGCTCTGGCGCAGTAGGAAGTATACTTTTCACTACGCCATTCGGGTACTACACTACTTATTACTTCTGTAGAAATTTTCGAATAAGGCAGTTTCAACACGACCCCAGTCTCTAGAGGGAGCTCGTAATCATCGCCTAATTAATTGATCGAAAGTTCAACCCTCAGTGCACATTATTCGTCTGCTAACGCCAGATAAAGGAAGGGCAGCGAGGCGTTAAAAGCGGGACGATGTGAAATATTAGTTAAGTCACAGGCGCGAAATCCGTAGTTAGTTACATCGCGCCAGTACAACATAAAGGATCTTCAGTAGAACGTTCTTAATGAAGATAAATACCTTTGCTTGTTTTCGGGATGGATTACAACCTGATACGTCTATTTATAAGGGATAAGTCTATTTTATTACATCTTTCACATTCGATAAATAGTATTTATTTCATATAAATTTATACGTTAAATCGAAGCAATATTGATGAATAATATAAAAACTGACATTACTAACCAATGTTTGTTTCCTACTATCCTTTCCATTCAAAGGTTAACATTTAAACTTGGTTTTTGTTCTTTGACGAAAATATGTAATTATGGGTTTCGTATAAAAGCGAATGTAATTACGATGTACACGCCATAGGTAAATTAACGTCTGTGACTCATCGTACACCCGGATGTAAAATAAATACAAGCATGATTACATATTTACCTAATCGATACAGTTCTTTACAGTTTCAACCCTCACAAAATGCGCGATAACAATATTAATTTTATGGACGACATTATCAAGTCTAGTCACTTTTCAAGATAGATTAAGTGATTTTCTTTAGAGACAAATTGTAGCTTTAATTTATAAAAGTCGTCAAAATTTATGTTTGGAGGACACAAAAACACTTTAAGGTTTGTGTGTAGTTTTGGTGCACAATTTTATATCAGTTATAACAATTTTTTGGAAACGGTGTGCGGTTTTCATTCGAATTTTTAAAATGACATTGATGTGAATATATATAGTTATAAAACAATGAAAATAAATGTAACAAGCCACAATAAAAAAAAGAACGAATATGAAAATCGAACTTTAACGAAACGCAACAAAAGAGAAACGATCATTTATACATTGTAAACGCGCGAATAAATCACCTGCTGGCTCAGTCTGTCCAACCGTAACGTCATATTTATAGAATCGGATTCGCTAAAATATACGGTGTAGCCCCAAGCGGAACCGCACCATTGTCCCGTGGGCGGGGAAGGGCTGCGCTCCACAATAGTCATGTGGCCGTCCGGACATCCATCCGATGTGAAGGATACAAATTTTCCTACGGTGAATGTGTCGAACGTCAGCTGAAATAGAAGCGTGGATTTATCAGCATTTGCACACTTTTTTCCATGTTTTTATTTTTTCAGCTAATGTTTAAAGTAACAGTAAGATAGAACAATAAATTATTTTTTACCCGAAATGAATTTGAGTGAGCATCTTTTCAGTTTTCTACATACCAACTATGCGCATACTTTACAAAGAATCATCGCAATCATAAGAACATTTATACTCGTATTTTATACGAAAAGATGATTTGTCAGTAAGGTAATATTATGCCTATTGTGAAGCTATGTCGGGCTTTCAACAATTAATGTGGAGAGAGCTGACGAATATTCTGTTTAACGTTGTTAGTGGAATTTACTTGTATAATATCGCCGTAGTTTCCGCCCGTCGCAGTGAAGTTGAGGTTGCACACGAACGGTAGATGGTCTTCGCGTGGTCTGCGAACTTCTAGCTCGTATGTACGTCCTACATCACCCATGTATGTTCTGTTGCAGGCTAAAATGCAAAACGAAAGAAAATTGTTGCAAGTAAAGCAATGCACCTCTATAAACCTAATTCACATAAAATTTATAAGAAATTTATTATGTCTGCAAAAAGGGAGCATGTAAAACACCTTATAATAAATAAATACAATTATTGCTATTTTGTTTGTTATTTTTTTATATTAATGTATCTATGACTATGGCTATACAAAATAATAATGTATGCAGTTGCCTTGTTGCTCCATTAGATAGAAATCGTTGTTTAAATTCTATTTAGAGGCATGTTTGATTCACGCGTTGGTTTTGACAACTATAAATATAGTCATTTATATCGACCGAATCACGCTAGTCGAATGAACTAGTTACATGTAAGTAAAAAAATTACTAAATATATTTTATACGCGAATCCAAAGCGAAAATATATGACACAAAGTAGGTCCTTCGTGTTTCGTTTTTATTTGAATTCGACACCTTTTCAGGTACTCTGTAGAATTTCTTGCCAACAGCGCAAACAACACAAATATATTATTCCGTAACTTCGAGTCTTACAGTTCTTAATACCAGTCTTTCGTTCTTCCTTTTATACACTACGAGCGGAATTTTTCTAAGACGAGGTTCTTAAAACTTTTGTATGTTCGAGAAACAACCGAACGCGAAATTCAAACCTATTTTAATTAAAGCACCTCTCCCTGTGTGCTGCTAACAAATGCGGTTTGGAAGGGGAGAAATTTGCGCAAAAACAGGCAATTTCTTTCATTATGTTCCACGCGTGCTGACTCGAAACAAATGGTCCATTTCACCAGAGTAATGGCATACTTAGACACGCTTGTGTACGTGGTTATGTACTCGCCCAAGAGAAACAGTTGTTCACATTATTTCGTCATAATTTATTCGTGAGGCAGCTAGTGCTGGTCGCAGCACTGCCCCTTTCTACTCTGTACGTTAGTACTGCATAAGGTTTAACCAAAGAAATTTAGACCCTGCAAGTAACGTTGTATTAGGCTTTTGTAACACAAAATTTCGAGGTAGACCTAAAATATGACATGGAACAAATTTATAAAGTAATTCAAATATAAATAATTTCAAGTAAGATAATATAAGTCAAGCCATATTAACGGCCCTAAGTGTCATACTTTTTTTCCCATTCCAAATACGTGAATGATTGTTTTCCCATTCCAATACAAAGTTATTTAACACCTTATTAAATGAAACGCGGGTGTTTTTGTTAATTATAGCCATATTTTGGGTTAACGACCACCTACGTGGAATGATAAAAGCGAAAGCTCGTTTTAGGCAACCTCCGTAATTAAAGAAGGTTTATTGGTTTTGAATTCTTTACATTTTAACGTATGTATTGAGATATTTTTGTATAAAAAAGCATTTTGCTTTTTTACTTTATAAATTTATTATTTTTAATATATTAAATTTAGAAGAAACAGAAAATGTACAAGTGGAGCACTAGTTATATAACCTATATATAACCTATATATAACTGGTGCTCCACTATATAAGTAATTATATAGTTCGGTGTGTATGTACAAAACTGCCTAACGCAATTGCCCTCTGCGTAAACTTTTTGGTAGGACATGAATGTCGTAAATGAGCAATTTCCTCGGACTTCCATGAAGTTACAAGTCGCTGACAAGTCGCGTCATTTCCCTTGATAACTTTTTCTGGTTACGTAATCTATTAACTAGGCTATCGGCGCTTTCATATCAAAGGAATTGCAAATGCTAACCTATTCGTATGAAGATTTAAAAAAAAACAGCTTAAGTATAATTTTGTTTTTCATTTTATTTCAAAGAATAAAAAATAATAGGAAAAAATTAGGTTTTTTTTTATTTTTACTCTTACAACTTTGTTTATATTTTCATTACTCTGTGGTACTTTTAGTCTTATAAATAATAGTAACATAAACATTGTAAAGGAATAAAAACTTTAGTTAAAGAATAATCAAGGAAAAAACTTACGTGAGCAGGCTTTAGGTTCGTCGCTTTTATCGCCGCAGTCATCTTCTCCGTTACAGTATTTATCTAATGATATACACTGTCCCGTGTCACAGAGCAATTCACTTAGTCTACATGGGCTATCCGTAGCAATTCTTTTCAGAGTTTTGAGACTATTTTCCCCTTTCGCCACACTTGTCTCTGTTATGGGGTCTACATTTTCCTCGATAGCCAAATCGTCATTCAAGTCCTGAGGACTACATAGCTTCAAAGAGAAAAGCACTATAATAAACAGAGAAGTCCTCAAGTTTTTCACGCCGTGAAACGATTTGACCGAACACATTTTATCCTATTAAGCCACTATCGGTCATAACATGATCTCAACAACCGAATAATTCTTCAAGACCAATATCTGTAACAAAAAAAAAAAAACGAAATTAATAATTTGATGAGAATAAATTATGTTGTTGGTACTCGTATTAACAATAGCTCGGAATATTTTAATAAAATTTAGGTTAACACAAATTTTCAACCGACTTCAAAAATGGAGGAGGTTCTCAATTAGACTGTATTTTTTTTTATATTTGTTACCTCAGAACTTTCGACTGAGCGAACCGATTTTGACGATTTTTTTTTATTTGAAAGCTGGTGCTTCTCATGTGGCCCTATTAATTTCATTGGTATTGGATCTTTGTCTCCGGAGATACGTAGGGAACTCCTGAAAATTTTTCCAATTTTAAGATGAATACAGAGCGAGATATTTGAAATCGGTTTTGTTTTTCATTAATAAAAAAAATAAAATAACATAAACGTAGGATCTCGTCCTACGTTTATGTTTTTTTTTTCAAGTTAGTATTCAAAAAAAGAATGATCTTATATATTTTATCCGCCGCATGCTAAAGAAAACTTATGAAATCATTTACACGAATTACAGTATTTATACGGTACCTAATATATTTAATAGCAAAGTCAAGTCAAAGTCTAAATTTCTTTATTCAATATAGGCTTATTTTAAGCTATTATTGAACGTCAAAAAACTACCAGCGGTTCATGAACTAGAACTGTCCAGAGTAGTACCGGTAAGAAACTCTGCGGTCTTATCTTTTTTTTGAATGATATGAGTTCGCAAAAATATTATATAACTATAAAATTAGCAGCAGCCAGGGAACTTGCAAGTGCAGAGCAAGAGTCATTTCCACACATTCTTATCCTCAATGTATTCTTCGATATTATAATATTCCCTTTCCATTGGTATAGCTTTCACAAAATGTTTGAAGATGTTTACACTTACTATTATCCTTGATACATCGCCTGAATAAGTGTTTCAATACTAATGTTTTCGGAAACATACTGTTGTTTAATAAGTCAATATTAATAAAAATTAAATAAACATTCAAGTTTTCATTTTCAAAATTAATACTTAATCTACCACTGTCTGAACTATATTTGCAGTCTCACAGCAAATATTTGCACAAGATATTACCTTTCGTACCTCATAATTTTATGAAGCACTATTTCACAAGATCATGGCGCACATTCCGCCGTGCCATAAATCGGTGGTACTGCATATGCGAATATTAAATTTCTTTATCTAGGCACGATCTAACTAGTTACAGGTGCGCAGCATTATTTATGGTCTGCACACATGTCAGCAAGGGTAGCTGAATGTATTGCCCTACTTACCGAGGGTCGATTGTGCTTTCACACTTACCGTGTGTATGTATACATTTGTTCAAATAAACGTTTAACACAATGACATTTGTTTTCGAAGCCTACGGGCTTTGTTAATATAAAGCACAAATCCTAGTGCTGGGGAAAACCCTTTACAAACTATTACCATTAGTGAAAGAGAACGTACAACAAAACATGGGTTATTTAAAACTCCACTAAAAGTCATGTTTAAAATAAATATGGAAATTGGGGGACTTAATTGAAATGTGATATGAACTCGAACGATTATTAACATTATATAATTTATATAATCTAATGTATTGTTGATAAATGAAAGTTATAACGTTACATACATTGCACGATCAAAGCAATTATTGTGATATTGTGGTGTTTGCGTATAATATTATAAACGCGGAAACAGGACAAACAATTTCACAGTAGCAATTCAGAAGTCACCGCAACTGTGACACAGCAACATGCAAATGACCGTAAAAGCGAATTTGTGTTTCCAAATGCAGAGTGCTTACAAAGGGTTTAAATTTGCGATTCCATCATACCAGCTATGCAGATATTCAGAAATTTTAACTAATCAAGCGTTTAGTTCCGAATTTAGAAAAGCCACAATTTAGTTAACAGAGCTCTTGTCCAAATATTAAGCATAAAATAGTTAAAGCCTCCGAATTTGTATGAATTTCTTCATTCATACTGTAAAAAATTTATAAATTTTAAATTTACTTCATTATGAGGAGAAACGAGCTTGTTGTATATGAATTATATGGGAGTCCACTTAAATATTTTTTTATTCTGTTTTTAGTATTTGTTGTTTTTTCAACTGGCTAACTATCACGATTCATGAGATACAGCCTGGTTACGGACGGACAGACCGACAGACAGACATATAGCGGAGTCTTAGTAATGATCCCGTTTATAAATACGAAATAAGTTTGAAAAAATTTAAACTACAATGGACTGACAGACAGACAGTAATACATACCCTTAAAATGGATTACAAATTGGAATAATCGAATATTGAGGAAATAATATATGTTATTCCTTGGGTAAAGATACATTTATAAAAATTCTACTGCTTAGTCTTGAATTTTGTAAAAAAATAAATCTGGGTTAATGTTTCCCTCGAATAAAGCAAGATAATTTGTTGGACAGTGACAAATTAATGACTAACAAAGCGTTGATAATGATCGCCAGCAAAAACTGAGATTAAAAAAACACTCCATGGATGAACTCGTTGTAATAAACGACTGAGAATTCAGTATAAATGTCGCTTTGAAATGCTGCTAATACTGATAATTATTTGCCTTATATGGGCCATTTATTTTTGATAAGTATTGATAACTTTTATTATAAAAAAATACTAAACCACACTTTTCTAAAACTTATAGTTAACATCAATAAGGCATCTAATACTACACAGTAGTTAAAATTTTGATCTTCCGTTATATTTCCAACAAATGAATCGGTATTTAATAATAATTCTGAAGTTATTCCTGCAATTAAACTAATTACAAAGCGGACAATGGAACTGCTTACAACCCTTCGTGTCTCGCAATCAATTGACGCACTGCAATTCATATTAATTGATTTAGCTCTGACAATATTTTTCGAGCTTGTAAAGTTCTTAATTATAATTGCTTTAGGATGTCGATTTTGAATAGACAGAAAAGCCCATTACCACATATTGTAAGAAATATTCTTCAACAAATGGGTTTGATGAAGAAAACCGTTTTTTCCACGTGTCACTTGGATTATTGGCGACCGAAATTTAACACATACACAGTTTATGTTATTTGTATACTTTGTATAGCCGTGACATTATATAAATAACCAATAATTCAAATTTATTTAGATAAACCGTTATCAAATTGAATTTAATGTATCTACGCAAAAGAAGTATAACTTCTTACGTGCGTACATAAGTACACACATCCTTTTTTTTATTGAGATCGTGACGGGCAGGTCACGTTGAGCATGAGCGACGGTCGGTGGACATTTCGCATAATGTCAGGACTAGGTACAGACACTCAGAAAACAGAAAGGACATGGAACTCGATGGGCTAAATGGATGGGGACACAATCACACAAGTTGCAGGAAAAAATCGGCTGACAAAAGCTATAGATTCAACCGTAGACCCCCGTTTGAGAGATTCATGCATTCCATTGTTATTTAAATTTTCTTAAAATTTTAACTTATTTCGCATTTATAAATGGGATCATATTACTAAGACTCCGCTATCTGTCTGTCTCTCTGTCCGTCTGTCACCAGGTTATATCACATGAACCGTGATAGTTAGTTAAAACTTTCAGAGACGATGTATTTCTGTTGCTGCTATAGCAATAAATACTAAAAACATATTAAAAACATACAAGTGACCTCCCAAATAACAGACATGTTTTTTTTGTAGTTTTTAAAGATAATGGTACGGCAACCTTCGGGCGCGAGTCCGACTCACATTTGGCCGGTTTTTTAATTTTATTTTGTTAAGTTAAATAATGCGAAATTTTATGATAGGCTGTTTATAATTGTAGGATCAGTCTATTAGGTCAGTACAGTCTATTTTCCAAATATCAACATAACACGCTAATAGGCTATAATTGATATACATATTTTATGCATATCTGTCTTTCTGTCTTCCGCCTATTCTACGCAGACTTAGTCGCGGGCAGCAGCTAGTAGATACTATGTGGAGAAGATCATACATGAAGAACAACAACTCATGCCTTCCGTATATAAGTAACTAATCCCAGTATCCCAATTTCCCACTAATATTATAAATGTGTAAGTCTGGAGGGATGGATGGATGGATTGATGTTTGTTACTTAATCATAACAGAACGGCTGAACGGATCTGGATGAAATTTAGATTAAAGATAGAGTATAGGCTGAAATAGCACATAGGCTAATAATCCCGGCAAAAGTATGGTTTCAGTGGGATAGCTATGTTTTAATTGTTCATAGAGAAAAGGATTAACATTATTTGTAGCATTGTTTGGAATTTTTTATCCTGGAAAAATGCACGGGTCTTTTCGGATAGCATACAGAAACCGTGTTTTCATAGGGAAATAGATGTTTAGCGCATTTTACTAAAGAAGGCTGGATTAATTTACACAGTAACGATAAAAACTCTCAAAAAAGTTTAAAATAAAATAAAAATTTAAATCCCCCGACTTAAAATAGATGATTTTATAAGATTCCGAAAGACGTCAGTTCCTTCTGGTTCTACAGTAAGGTTGTTTTTATAACGCAGAGCGAGCCACTAGATGACGCGTTACGGCGATCAATAAGTTTTCTTATTCACGCTCTTAATATTTTCTTGTGAATGTGATCTTCCAAGCAATTTTCGTTTGTCTTGTATTATAAATAAAATAAATACCGACTTGATTTTGAATTATTTTTTAAAATAAATAAAAATGCTACATTGAATTTGTCGGTTTCTTCGTTTGTTTTTTGTTTGTTTGTAACACTTTTAAGTACTCCACCGACCATCGTGAAATGCTGAATACAAAGGTTGCAGAAAAGGACATATAGTAAAAGCACATACTTTTTAATCGCGGGTTTTTTTATGTGAAAAGTTGTCAAGCGAGCAGATGTTTCACCTGATGTTAAGTGAATACCGCCGCCCATGGACATCTACTACACCCGAGTGTTGCACATGCG